TCACTGTTTGACTGTTTACTCCGTCCCGCACCCGGTGCCTACGCCGTGCTCCTGTCTGGGGTTTCATTTGTTTATTCAGTGCGTTAGATCACCAGTGGGCATTTCACAGTGAAGTGGTCGAGGGAGTGGGAGCTACTTATTAAAAAGTCAGATGGATGTGAATGTGAGAGTCCTTGTTGTTCCAGTCCTCCTCAGTTTTAAAAACACTTGAATGCATCGTCTCTTTTCTCTTTCTAGTGTAGAGTATGACTTAAAGGGGACCTATCATGCAAAATGCACTTTGTGATGGGAACTCACGCAGTGTCAGAAAATAAAACCCTTTCTCTTTTCCTCCGTACCCAAATCGTTTAAAAACGGGTGCACGACGAGCGGATACAGATTCCATCCGATCTGACCTCAAATCGGCGGCGGACCCACAGAGAGTTGCTATCAGAAACAATGCCTGACGTGTTTTGGATGTAATCTCGTCTTTGTTTACATTAGCAAGCCTCGCTAACTCTCAAAGCTAACCTGTACTGGAGAGCACATGTGTTTAAAAAGCAGGAAATAAAAAAAGAACTCACCTTGTGATAAACCCGCAAGAGAAAAAGCATTTGAGCTCCATGCTGTTTCAGAAATAATCCTTGATGTGGTTTAGAACAGCATGGCGTTTTATCACAGCATAATTTAACTTTATCTCCGGTAGAATTCTGATCAGGCATTAGCTCCGCCTCCTCTTCTTTCTTTTTTTTCAAGCTAAGGACCGAAGATCCATGTTTCTCTAACAGGGCTGCAAAATATGGAGGACGGAACATGACTTAAGTATAAATAAATAAATGTATGAAGAAATACAGGAATAAATAAATTACGTACATAAATACAGGAATAAATAAATAAATACGTAAATAAATAAATAAATACAGGAATAAATAAATGACGAAATAAATACAGAAATAAATAAATGTTGAAATGAATACACAAATAAATAAATAAAAGAATAAATGCATAAATAAATATGGAAATAAATACATCAATGTATAAATAAATAAATGTCGAAAATAAAACAGAACACACGTTATTATTATATATCTTTCATTTATTTCTACATTTACGCGACATACATTTATTTATTTATGTATTTATGTGTCCGTATGCTAATGAGGTGGGCGGTCCCTAACCTCAGTCTGAAGCAGGATTCGCCAATTGTTGGAGCCAGGCAGAAGCAATAGATTTGTGGCAAGTCACATCATGTCGAGCTGAGCCAAGTCCTCTATACATCGTTCCACACGAAACTGGACATAGTCTTTTGGTTCTCCGTTCTCTAAATGGTCCGCTAATGATCGTAAATGATCTCCAATGGCTCTTAAATCAATATCCATAAATAAACCTTACAACTGTGGATAAACCATGGATGTATAAAGATAAGGGCTAAACAGTAAAGCTCCTGCATTCGAATCAGCGCGGTTATCCAGGCGTTAGTAGTAGAGCCCTCTGCCAGAAATGATCACACACTCCTGTAACCAATCCTGCTTCAGACTGAGGTTAGGACCGCCCACCTCATTAGCATACGGACACATAAATACATAAATAAATAAATGTATGTTGCGTAAATGTAGAAATAAATGAAAGATATATAATAACGTGTGTTCTGTTTTATTTTCGACTTTTATTTATTTATTTATACATTGATGTATTTATTTCCATATTTATTTATGCATTTATTTATGCATTTATTCTTTTATTTATTTATTTGTGTATTCATTTCAACATTTATTTATTTCTGTATTTATTTCGTCATTTATTTATTCCTGTATTTATTTATTCCTGTATTTATTTATTTATTTACGTATTTATTTATTTATTCCTGTATTTCTTCATACATTTATTTATTTATACTTAAGTCATGTTCCGTCCTCCATAGCAAAAGAGGGGTTTGAGCAGAATGAGGCATGGCTACAACGGGGGATCTGTTTGGTATTTTGAAGAAAAAAACTTCACAGACAATATATATTTCAAATATAGCATGATAGGTCCACTTTAAGTCTGCAGGAAAGGGCAGGTAGAGCTATTAACATTTGGAGTGGGGTAGAGGCCAAAAATGGAGCAAAAAGAGTTGGTCACATCTCAATCTTTATTTATTTATTAGGGTCCTTAAAATTGAAAGTGGGAAAGTCTAAGCTCCAACTCCCAGAATTCATTCTATTAGTCACGAAAACTCTCCTCCTGGTGAATGTTTTCACTTCCGGGCAAAAAGTACGGCTCAGCCCACTTTTGGGGGGAAACTAAGCGGTCATTTGAACGGCGGTCGATACAAATTCTGAAGTTTTTGCCAATCCGATCAGAAATGTAAGAAAAATGTGGATTTGTGGATCTTCAAGGAGCCCGATTACGATGGCCAGTCAGGCGAACAATTACATTAAGCCATTGGAAATCGACGATCACGCTCGATATATGGTTAAATATAACAGTAGGCGATCGATGTCCATAGATGAGAGTAACATCTATGTCACTTTACGGCCCCGCCCACTTTTGGGGGAAACCAACGCTGTCATTTGAATGGCGATCGAGCCTGAAGCCACAGAGCTCTTCTGTTACTGTCCTTTGTTCTTAGAGGAAGTCCAGGATCACTGAACTCTGGATTAGTTTTAATGTTTGAGGAGCAATAAACGCCCAGAATTCATTCTATTAGTCAAGAAAACTCTCCTGGTGAATGTTGTCCTCAATCTGACAACATATACCCCCCCCCTCATCGACCTGGAAGTTTAGCCTCAGTTCCAGCACCGTGGCAGCCCAGGTCGATGAGGGGGGGGGTACATGTTGTCAGACATGTTGTCAGATTGAGGACAACATTCACTAGGAGAGTTTTCTTGACTATCATAACTCCGGTGGTTGGAGCTTAAAATAAATGAATTCGAAAATGTACATAGCACTAAGGACCACCCTATTATTTATATAACACATTCAAAACAACCTCAGTTGACCAAAGTGCTGTACAGGGAACACATACAATATAGAATAACACAATAGGAGTAAATAATAAAACAAAGCACAATAACTATAAAAATGTCAAAGTGTTATGTTCAACTAGTTTTAATATGAGATATATAAGTTAAAAATCTGTGTATTCATCGCATTCGATCACCAGTGGGCATTTCACAGTGAAGTGGTTGAGGGAGTGGGAGCTACGTAAAACAAAAAAAGAAGCCAGATGGATGTGAATGTGATGAGAGTCCTTATTGTTCCAGTCCTCCTCTCTTCCTCAACCGAGGGAGTCCTCTTTATTTCCAGCATCTGTGCTGCTGTGATGAGAAACACCAGCTAACTAGGCCACTGCATAATAAGCAAGAATAGCAGCAAAGAAAAAATGAATAAGGAAAAAGAAAAGAGGGGAAAGGAAACAGTTCTCGAGGGGTGGGGGGGGGGGGGGGGGGGGAATCTGTACCCAACATGTAACTGCTGACAAAAGTAATTCACCGAGCAAATATTGTCCTTTTTTACTGCAGATGCATTTTGCTTACATTTACCTATAGCCTCTGCAGAGGTGCTTCAGAGTTCACCTCTCGTTCAGCTCTGAGCCGTCACGTGACTGACGATCAGGGGCGCCGTAAGGGGGTGAAAGGTTAGGACGATTCTAAGGGCCCGTGACTGACAGGGGCCCAAACTATTTTATTTTCATGGGGCCCAAAATCCCTGCTGACGATGCACCTTTATGACTTTTCGTTCGGTGTGTGTGTGACTGCAGAGATGCGGGAGTCTCTTTCGGTGCTTCACACACTTTCTTGTGTTTTCTTCTGTTCACACTCTTCATATTTATTTCTGCAAGTGGCGCTAATTGATTTCTTTGTAATAACAATGTGGGAACAATGTGACGATATGAAAGCCGCCACTCGTGGGGAAGAGTCTCTACAGAGTATTATCACTCGGATCTGAAGCTCTCCTCGGCTTTAGGGAGCGTTATGACGAAGCTGCTCAAACCCACTGCACCCTGCCTACTTAGCACAGCAGACAGACACAACGTTAATGAGAATTTAGAGGAGCACTTAGGAACCAAAGAGCAAGATAGTTACAAAACTACTCTAACACTTTCCTGCATTTCCTATTATCTGCAGGAAGGGCAGGTGTATGTGGGGAGGAGACCAAAAATGTAGCAAAAAAAAACACTGTTGGGAAAATACTGAATGTCCTCTTCCAACATGAGAGTCCATGATAACAAAGGTATCCCAACTGTAGCTGTGAACATGACAGGATGTTTGAGGCAGATGATAGCTATGTGATTAACATGATGATTCAGCCTCTATGGAGAGAGACATCAAGCATGCTCATTTCTGACGTGGAGCTAATCTGAAGTAAACATTGAATACTGCTTTCTATTCCTCCATCTTGTGACTGTGTAACTCCCTCTCTTGGATATCAGCATGTGAAGGACTCTGTTTGAGATTTTGAGAGAAAGTCAGAATTTTTAGATTTTTAGAAAAATACAGAATTTTGAGAAAAAGTACAGGATTCTGAATTTTTGGAAAAAGTCAGACTTTTGAGATTTTGAGAGAAAGTCAGAATTTTGATATTTTCAGAAAAAAGCCAACATTTTGAGAAAAAACTCAGTACTTTGAACATGACAGGATTTACGATTACCTACAAGAAGCGGTATTCCTCCATCTTGTGACTGTGTAACTCCCTCTCTTGGATATCAGCATGTGAAGGACACTGCTCAGGAACTAGTTGATGCTCTGTATGTGATGCCATTCTGGAGAGGATCACAGATACATGGATCCTGAGATTGAAGCTCAAACCAGTGACGAGGGATTATTAAAAATGTTAAGTATTCTGAAAAATCTGAATTTTGAGATCTTGAGAAAAAAGTCAGAATATTTTGAGAAAAAAAATTGAATTTTGAGAAAAAGTTAAAAAAAATTAAAAAGTCAATTTCTTTTAGAAAAAGTCAGAATTTTGAGAAAAAGTCAGGTGAGAGTGAAAACAGCTACTAACTCTTGATTTGTATTGTGTCTCTTCTCTTTTTTTAGTGTAGAGCATGACTTCCGTCTGCAGGAGGGCCAGGTGGTCCGCAAGTGGAAGGTGGGCGACCCCCCCGAAGGCTCCCCACAGACCCCCACTCCCCAACCCTCCACTCCACAACAATTGGACTCCCCTCAGACGGAAAGACCCCCCGCCACCACCAAGAAGAACCGGAAGAAATGTTTCTGGTTCCTCTGAGTGCGAGAGACATTTTGATACCGTAATGCACTGCGTACTATAGATGATGAACTATGAACAAAACGAGCAGACTGAATTAAAATGCCAACTGTGGGAGGAGAGATTTTACCGCTGGAGTCGATGAGAACGTTTTGACTGGGGCAAACATGCTGCTTTGAAAAAATGCCTCTTCAGCACTTACAGGTCACATTCTGGCGCAGGGAAGTAAAAGTGCTGAAGTCAAATAAAAGCAAAAGTTCAGTGCACAACATGACTCACAGTTATGAAGCAATTAGGAGATACATATAGGGGGTGGGACGGGGCAGGGGGCACCGTACAAGAGGCAATACAGAGCAGAGGAGGGAAGATATTTATAAATGTTTAAAGTTTATAGGCAGAGAGAGAAAAATATAGAAGGGATTCATCTTCATTATGGACTAATGAGGGTCAGAACACCAGCTTTTATATCCAGAGACATTTAAAAAGAATTATTATGTATTTCAATCTTTTAATATACTGTAATTGATGCAACACGTCTACACACACACACACACACACACACACACACACACACACACACACACACACACACACACACACACACACACACACACAAATGATATATATACATAAAAAGGAATATATATAAATTGAGAAAATGAGTAAGATGAGTTCTGCTTGGATGATTTATTTCAGATATGGATTACTGCTCTATAAAAGTATTTTACCACATATGATTGTGTGTGTTTTTATTCAACAGGTTTTAAAAAATGATTTGTAGTTAATTGAAGTATTTTCATAATAACGCATCAAATGGTACCACTACTTTAATGTGATAGCACTCCATTACAAATCATGCATTTAAGTACAATTTGGTAGTACTTTTTCTTTATTAGAGTATTTACATTTTCTGCTTCTTTATACTTCTACTTCCCTACAATTCAGGCAGGTATTGTACTTTTTAATCCACGGATCCAAGATACATTTCAAATGGCTAGAAGGGAAATTACACCTCACTTCATATACATGAGTAACAAATGCGTCACTTCCGGGCAAAAAGTACGGCTCCGCCCACTTTTGGGGGAAAATAACGCTGTCATTTGAATGGCGGTCAATACAAGTTAATTTAACCATATATCGAGACCGATTGTCGATTTCCAATGATTTAATGTAATTGTTTGCCTGACTGAATTTGTATTGACCGCCATTTAAATGACAGCGTTGTTTTCCCGCAAAAGTGGGCGGGGCCGTAATTTTCGCCCGGAAGTGACGCATGTGTTACTCTCATCTATTGCCTTTTTCGTCAAAAAAAAAAAGTATCTTTCAGCCTCCAATCGTTGTTACTATATGACACTCAATGTCCTCTGAAATGTGACGAGTGGTGGAGGAAGCTTTCAGTCGAAGAGGTCGCACGGTACGAGTTTAATCTCTCACAACACATTGTGTTTTATAAGCTCGCCATACGATTTAAATGTTAATGTGAAAAGCCACCAGTAGATTCAGCTGCCACATAAAAGAAGTGAACAATAATGGACTCTGAAAGGTAGTGGAGTACAAATACACTTTGCACCACTGGCTATTATTATAAACCAAATGATGAGTCACATTTAGGACACAAGCACTATAGATCTCTCTCAAAAAAGACAACATGTTTTCGGCGACATTTCCCAGACACCAGGCTGCTCTCAGAGCTCAGATGGCTGTCCTGGACACTTGAGGGCAAATCTCAGGATGTTAAGCCTCAGCTGTGTGATGGCTGCGAGAAGCCCCAAATATGACCACTTAGTAATTCATGACACACATAAGCTGCTTCTACCAGTGGCACGAGACGCTAGCCTAATTTATCCCAAACTTTCGGAAAGTGTTAGCTTTCAGTTTGTTTGCTTGCTTGTTTTGGATTTGTATACGACTGCTGCCAGTTTCCACTACGCCTCGAACAAAGCAGTCAGACACACACTCTGTTTCTGTTGGAGAGACTATCAGGCAGGAGTCCACGATCTCTTATGTGCTCGTGTTGTAACTGCCACTTCTTCCTTCTGGGCTCTCAAAACACGAGTGCACAAACATGGATATGTACACATGAAAACACACACACACACACACACACACACACACACACACACACACACATTACCAAGAGCTTAAGGCCCGTATTCACCAACTTAACTCTGCGTCCTGCTGAGCTGCGCTGAGGTGTAGAGGTTGAGAAGCTTCTGTACAACCGCTTGAAAATAACTCATTTGCCCACAAACCACTTAGCAGCAACAAGCATTCAGACACAGTTTGAGAAGCGTAATGGAGCATTTAGCAGCTAAAGAGCCAGATATTAAAATGTGGAGTGGATGGAGACCAACAATGAGTCAAGTACATGAGTTACTGCAAGTTTTAAAAACACACTTTCCTGCATTGGCTTTCCTCTCTTTCTAGAGCATGGCTTTAGTCTGCAGGGAAGGGCAGGTGGAGCGAGATATTTCCATTTGGAGTGGGTGGAGACCAACATGGAGCAAAAAGAGTGAGTCACAACGGTTTTGGCAAGAAATAAAAACACATTAAACTGTTTTCTTATTGTCTTTTATGTCTATCTAGTGAAGAACACTCTTAGTCCACAGGATGGGCAGGTGGTCTGCACATGCTCGAACAAAGCAGTCAGACACACACTCTGTTTCTGTTGGAGAGACTATCAGGCAGGAGTCCACGATCTCTTATGTGCTCGTGTTGTAACTACTTCTTCCTTCTGGGCTCTCAAAACACGAGTGCACAAACATGGATATGTACACATGAACACACACACACACACACACACATACACACACACACACACACACACACACATACATTACCAAGAGCTTAAGGCCCGTATTCACCAACTTAACTCTGCATCCTGCTGAGCTGCGCTGAGGTGTAGAGGTTGAGAAGCTTCTGCACGTACAACCGCTTGAAAATAACTCATTTACACACAAACGTCGTGGCACACACACACACACACACACACACACACACACACACACACACACACACACACACACACACACACACACACAATTCCACTTCACACATCACACAGCTAACATATTGTTCTCAGACCAACACAATGCATTATCTCCCCCGCAGTTGTTCCTCACAAGCAAGGCCTGGTACAGCGGTGTGTGTGCGGCGCGCTGCTGAGAGAGTGTGGAGATGTCAGTCATTAATCTGCTACAGCACAGCCTGTAATCCTGATGACAGAGCAGAGAGGATCTGAAACCAGCCTGCAGAGGGGAACAAAGGAGCCGCAGAACACTGGCTTTGAATCCATAAGGAGGAAGTGTGTGTGTGTGTGTGTGTGTGTGTGTGTGTGTGTGTGTGTGTGTGTGTGTGTGTGTGTGTGTGTGTGTGTGTGTGTGTGTGTGTGTGTGTGTGTGTGTGTGTGTGTGTGTGTGTGTGTGAGGTAGGTAACTATTTTGTCAGAAATGCCGCAGTAGCTATTGAAGAATGCTGGCACACACAAAGGGGAGAAAAAGAGATTTACATGGACACATCGAGGCAAGTGTATTTATAAGGCACCTTTCAACACGAGGAAAAACTAATCAGAATCAGAGTTCCTTCATTTGTCCTGAGCGGGGAAATATACATGATTACAACGGTGGAAGAACAGAGCAGATAGAGAGAATAGACTCACGTATTACACTGAACAAAAATATAAACGCAACACTTTTGTTTTTGCTCCCATTCTTCATGAGATGAACTCAAAGATCTAAAACATTTTCTATAAACACAAAATAACCATTTCTCTCCCGTGTTCTTCGTCCATTACATACGCCTGCCCATACCATAACCCCACCACCACCATGGGCCACTCGATTCACAACATTACCCTAACCCTACCCCTACCCCTCACACCAGATACTGACTGGTTTTCGGACCCCCCCAGACCCCCCCAATAAAGCAAAACTGCACGTTTCAGAGTGGCCTTTTATTGTGGCCAGCCTAAGGCACACCTGTGCAATAATCATGCTGTCTAATCAGCATCTTGATATGCCACACCTGTGAGGTGGGATGGATTATCTCGGCAAAGGAGAAGTGCTCACTATCACAGATTCTTTCAGATTTGTGAACAATATTTGAGAGAAATGGTTATTTTGTGTTTTTAGAAAATGTTTTAGATCTTTGAGTTCATCTCATGAGAAATGGGAGCAAAAACAAAAGTGTTGCGTTTATATTTTTGTTCAGTGTAGAAAAACGAAGTATGGACACTTTATTAATAATAAAAACCACAATGAGTAAAAAAACAAATAGCACATGAGAACACCGTGGTAAAAGAAAAGTGGCAGGATATTTAAAAACATGTTTAAAGAGGTGGCTGGAACTGTTTGCCTAATAAATTGAGAGAAATAATAAAGCGTCAATTTCACAAGGGTATATTACACATAGTTTCATATTTAGAGGTAGCTTTACAAAAGTGAAAAACACAAAGGGCATCACATTATGAAATGGTGTTTAAAAACATTCACTAAAAAGCAAAGGGAATAAAAACTAGCATAAAAAACAAGCTAATATAGAAAAACACAGGTCTGACAAACATGAATAAAAGTTACAGAGCAGTGTGGGTGTGACCCTAGATAACAACCTGTCCTTCACTGCAAACATCGCTGCTACAACCCGTTGCTGCAGATACACGCTTTACAACATCAGGAGATACGTCCCCAGCTGACTCAGAAAGCGACTCAGGTTCTGGTCCAGGCTCTCGTCATCTCACGCCTAGACTACTGCAACTCCCTCCTGGCTGGTCTACCTGCATGTGCCATCCGACCTCTGCAGCTCATCCAGAATGCAGCGGCTCGTCTGGTCTTCAACCTTCCTAAATTCTCCCACACCACGCCTCTCCTACGCTCCTCCGCTCCCTTCACTGGCTTCCAGTAACTGCTAGAATCCACTTCAAGACACTGCAGTGTTTCCCACAGATATGAAATATACTTGGGCGGGTGGTGGCAAGGGGGGGGGGGGGGGTGCGCGAAAAAAAAGAAGTTTTAACAACGTTATTTATTGACTTTTCATTCCGGTATAATCATTTTGCGCAAAGCTGGCACTGTTTGTCAGAGCACTTCATCCTTCTGGGATTTCATGAAGAACAGCTCCAACGCCTGTGTGTATGGGAATGCCTCTGGTGCTGGTCCATTAACTGCCAGTGTTTCCCACAGATCTGAAATATACTTTGGGGGGTGGTGGTAGCGGGGGGGGGGTTGAGGTGACGTGCAACAACATTAACCTTTATGTTGGTCGCTTGTTAGCAGACCCTTCACGCGATGGCAGAGCGAACAGGTACAGGCAGGGCCCATAATGATAGCCCTATAGTTTAAATCTACTACCCACACATGAACATATGGAAATGGGTTACTATTTAAAAAAATAAATGTATTTATTAATGTATTTAGGAACCTATCCATGTGATTTTTAGTGGGGGTCGACCTCAAATCCTCTAGGGGGGTCCAGGGGCATGCCCCCCCGGTAAGATTTAATTTTTTATTTTGGAGTTAAATGCATCAATCTGGTGCATTTTGAGGGGAAAATAAAGAGACTAGATCTATGGAAACACCTATATTTAACAGAACTGCATACATTTCAATAATCATAAAATCAAGGCCATAACCAACAACATCCCATTTCCAATATGAAAAAAACACTGAAACTTGTTTATTAATTTAGTTTTGGTTCATTTATAGTTGTGAGTGTGTATGTGCTCCTGAATCAGCCTC